ATATTTATTAATATCTATTATCAAGTAAGATATATTTCATTTTACTTGACCTATATCTTGTGATACTCTATACTGGTTATTTATTCTTACGAATATTATTTATATTTCACTTCTTTAAACTTATTTATTTATATATATATTATAATAAATTATGGTTATAAAATAATATATATTATTAGTACTACTTACTTATATATTATAAATATATATAATATAGTAGAATCACTTCATATTAATTACCATAATAATATACGACCTACATATTAACCATTATACTTTATAATCTATAATTATATACTATATTTATATAAATAATACTTTATTACTTTATTTGGTCGAAAGAAGGAAACGAAACAAAAAAAAAAAGGAAACGACTTATTAACCCAGTATATTTATTAATTGATATTAGTCAATAATTAAATACGGAAGTACCAATATATAATAATAATATTATATATACGCATATATTATCCATAAAATATGAGAAACTATAAGTAAGAGTCACTACTATATTAATACCAAATATGATAAATTATTACACTATAGAGAATAATATATAAGGAAATAATTATATTATAAATATTATATATATGATAATATACGTTGATATTATATATTATATAAATACACATATAACATCCAACTTCACTTACCATCTCTATTTAAGATATTCCATTCCTGATTCCACTTTCTGTATTTGGCATATGAATAGCAGTTCAAATATATATACATACCCACACACCACACACACACACATCCACAACCACACACACACACACACACACACACACACAACACACACAAGCACAAACAACACACACACACAACACACAATAACGCACTGGGCATTATTACTTTCTCCCGACGGACATGACTACCACTGGTATCTTTTTTATATTTCTCATAAAGGATTTAAAAACTTTTCTTCCCCAATCTTTCCTCAGACATAGAATTCATATGATAGCCACGGACTGCACCCGCACACAAAACACCAGTTCATGAATGAACGGTAACAGGGATGCAGGGAAGAAACAGGGCATTCCTCGACTTTTTCGGGGCTAATCTGGACTCCCAGAAGAAGGGAATTAGCAATCTCAGGTTCACGGGGAAGAATATAAATATAGTATGATTCACACTAAATGAAATAGTCAGGCGGAGAAGTAAGAAATTAAATATATCTAAATAGGAATCAAATATATAACCTCTGAATTTGTTTTTTTAATGTGTAAAGAATTATCCGAAATTAGGGCTCTCTATGTAATAAAAATAAAAAAAAAATAAAAGAGAGATTTATACATTTTTTACAAACTTCATTTTTTGCACTCTGAGTATATTTTACGGTAAAATCGGCAACCAAAGGAGAGACTAATAGTACATATATTCTGGCTTTATCTCATATAACGAGGGGACAGCAATAATGACATAAAAACAGAATCATTCCTGATTGGGAGGTTCTTACCTAGCGAAAGATTATGCACTTGACAGACGGTTCTTTAAATGACCTCTGATACAGTTTTTCAAGCATAGGAAGTTGTTACCAAGGGAGCAAACTTTAAAAAAGACATCCCAAAATATACTTGTCTCTCAGTCTATTCCACTGGTAGACTGGAAGTTTTTGGGAGAAGTCACAGATGAATTTCTGAAGGATAAAAATGCCAAAATATGAACACATGCCTTCTCAGCCAATTCATAATTAATAAGAGTAAACTGGTACCAAGAACAGAATAAAAATAATCAGAATCTAAATAAAACTTACCTTGTACAGACCCAAAATATGTAAATTCATATTCCCTAAGCCAAATTCCTTAGTCTTCAGTTGCAACGACAACAATGATTAAATAAATATAGTAAAAAGATATATATATATATAATAATTATATATAATACATATTTTACATATATATATATATATATATATAAGTAGATATATACATATTTACTTATATATAATAACTTATCAGCATTATTTCCTTTATACTTTATCCGAGTGAGATATTCATTATCTTTACTTTATCCATATTTTTCTGCTATATTTACTTTTATTTATAACCCTATATATAATATAATATTAATAACTACTTAAATATATATACATTTATATTATATATAAATTTCATATATATATATAGATAGATAGATATCATGAGAGAGACTGAGAGAGAGAGAGAGCAGAGAGGACCAAGATGAGCTAGATGACGACCAGAGAGAGGGAGAGAGAGAGACAGAGAGAGAGAGAGAGAGAGAAGACGAATTAGAATAGCTAGATGAGATGAGAGAGCAGAGAGAGGAGAGAGAGAGACTAGTAGAGAGAGAGAGAGAAGAGAGAGCAGACGAGAAGTTAGACGCATTTCTAGAGCTCAAGAGGTAGCTTCTCACTTCCAAAAACCACCCGAGAGAGAGATCAAACGTTGAAGAGAGAGACAGATTCTGAGTTCGAATGTTCTACTAGAGTAGAGAGGAGGAGACAGATGTAGACAGAGATGAGAGAAGAAGAGAGACGAGAGTAGAGAGAGAGAGCAGAGAGAGAGAGAGAGGAATAGAGAGAAGAAGAGAGAGAAAGAGAGAGACCATGAGAGACCAGAGGAGCACCAAGAGAAGAGATAAGTAGTATGACCAGAGACACCATCGAGAGAGAGAGAAGAGAGAGAGATAGAGACATCCTGAAGAGAGATGAAGAGAGAGAGAGAGAGAGAGAAAGAGAGAGAGAGAGAGGAGGAGAGAGGGAGAGACGAGAGAGAGAGAGCAGTAGAGTCTATAGAGATGACTTCTTAGAGAGTACTAACGAGAGCAGAGAGTAGCAGTAGACTGCAGGTAGTATGCGATGTAGGAAGTAGAGAGAGAGATGAGAGAGAGAGAGAGGAGAGAGAGAGAGAGAAGAGAGAGAGAGAAAGAGAGAGAGAAGAGCACACTCGGAGAGATCTTCCGATCTGAGAGAGAGTACAGAAGACGAGACACTTCTTACCCTGAGAGAGAGAGTATGAGAACAGCATGAGAACCTCTTGGGGGGGGGTGGTGGCGTGTGGGGGGTGGGGGGGTGGGTGGTGCTGTGGGGGGAGGGGGGCCGATGTGTCTTCTCTCTGACTTCTTGGCGGTGCGCCTGTCATCGATTTCTTCTTCTTCTTTGTCGTGCTTCATTCTCTTTGGGTGCGGTGGGTGGGGGCGAGTTAATCTGGGGGTGCGTGGGCGTTGGGGCGTGGTTGAGGGGGGTGGGGGGGGGGGGGCGTGGTGGGGGTTGGTGCGTGGTGCGTTCGTGTGGTGTGCCTCGTGGTTGTGCTGTGCGGATGTGCTTACTTCGTTTCGTGGCGTGCGTGTGGCGTGTGCGGATTGTCTTCTGGTGCGTTTTTTGGTGCGAAGAGAAAGGGAGAGAGCGAGAGAAGCGGAGGAAAAAGGAGAGTGGAGGAGAGAGTGAGCGTAGTTTGGTCAAGCGGAGAGAGTGGAAGAGCGAGAGCCAAGAATTCGAAGGAAATTATGCGTTGTTCCAGAAATGTCCTTGAGTAGATGGAGCAGACGATCTTGGACTCGGAATGTTGAGGGCAGATGATCGCGGGGATCAAGGGAGGCTTCCCTGGCCTTCCTCTTCTCCTTCTTCCTTCCTTTCTTCGATCTATTCTTCTTCTTTCTGCTTCTTCGCACTTTTTCTTCGATTTTCTTCTTTTTTCCGGCTTGTGCGCGTCCGTGGTGGTCTTTCTTGCGATTTTCGTGCGTTTTGCGTGTGCGTGTGGATGCGTGCGTGTCTGCGTGGTGTGCGTTGCGATTTCTTCTGTTCCTGTGCTTCTGCTTCTCCTCTTTTGCCTTCGATTCTTTTCTTCTCTTCCGTCTTTTCTTTCGATTTCTTTCTTTCCTTCTTTTTTTGTCGTATAAGAAGGGAAACGAAACCAAAAAAGAGAAAAGAAATGGAAACAGAGCCAGAGAGGATGTGCGAGAGAGAGTATGCGTTGTTCGCGAGAATGGCTGAGAGATGAAGCAGAGCATCTTGGGCCTCCGGGGATGTGAGGCAGGATGCGCGGGGGGGGAGCGAGAGGGAAGGCTGTCGCGCTGGGGGGCGTGAGTGCGCGTGTGGGCTCCTGTGGGGTGTCGTGCCCCTTGCCGTGTGTCGTGCGATGCTATCTTACGTGCGTTGGTTCTGCGTGTGCGGGTTGACCACTTTTCTTCGATTTCTTCTTCTTCCTCGTTTTCTTCGATTGTCTTCTTCTTACCTCTTTTCTTCGATTTCTTCTTCTTTTTTGTGAAGGAACGAAAACAGAATTCGTATTTGTCAAACGGTGGCGAGGCGCAAGAAGTTCGAAGGAAATTAGCGGTTTGTTCCAGAATGTCTTGAGAGATGAGCATAGACATCTTGGCGCTCGGAATGTGAAGGGCAGATCCGCGGGGACAAGGAGGCTTCCTTGGCCTTCCTCTTCTCCTTCTTCCTTCCTTTCTTCGATCTATTCTTCCTTCTGCTTCTTTCCTCTTTTCTTCGATTCTTCTTCTTCCTCTTTTTCTTCGATTTCTTTCTTCTTTCCTTACTTTTCTTCGATTTCTTCTTCTTTTTGTCGAAAAGAAGGAACGAAACAAAAAAAGGAAAATTACGTATTTGTCAAACGGAAGAAATGGAAACAGAGCCAGAATTCCCGGAAGGAAATTATGCGTTTGGTTCCGAGAAATGTTCTTGAGAGATGAAGCAGACATCTTGGCCTCGGATGTGAGGGCAGATCGCGAGGGACAAGGAGGGCTTCCCCTGGCCTTCCTCTTCTCCTTCTTCCTTCCTTGTCTTGACGATCTAATTCTTCTCTTCTTCTGCTTCTCTTTCCTCTTTTCTTCTGATTCTTTTTCTTCGATTTCTTCTCTTCTTCTGCTTCTGTCCTCTTTTTTCTTCGATTTCTTTCCTTCCGATGGTCTTCTTCTTCTTTTTTCTGTTTCTTCCTCTTTTCTCTTCGATTTCTTGCTTCTTCTTTTTTCTGTTTCTTTCTACTTTCTTTCCGAATTTCTTCTTCTTCTTCTGGCTTTCCTTCTCTTTTCTCGATTCTTTCTTCAGGGATTTCGATTTCTTCTCTTCTTCATTTTTCTGCTTCTCTTCTCTTTCCTTCGATTTCTCTTCTTCTTGTTTCTGTTTCTTCCTCTTTCTTCGATTTCTTCTATTTCTTTGGCTTCTTCCTCTTTTCTTGCGAATTTCCTTCTTCTTCTTTTTCTGTTTCTTCCTCTTTTCTTCATTTCTTCTTCTTCTTCTGCTTCTTTTCCTCTTTTCTTCGATTCTTCTTCTTCTTCTGCCTTCCTCTCTTTTTTCGAATTTCTTCTTCTTCCATCTTCGATTTCTTCTTCTTCTTTTTTTCTGCTTCTTCCTCTTTTCTTCGATTTCTTCTTCTTCTTTTTCTGCTCTTCTTCCTCTTTTCTTTCGATTTCTTCTCTTCCATCTTTTCTTCGATTTCTTCTTCTTCTTCTTCTGCCTTCTTCCTCTTTTTCGATTTTCTTCTTTCTTCTTCTTCTTCTGCTTCTTCCTCTTTTCTTCGATTTCTTTTTTTTCTGCTTCTTCCCTTTTCTTCGATTTCCTTCTTCTTCTGTCTCTTTTCTTCGATTTCTTCTTTTTGGCTTCGTTCACTCTTTTCTTCGATTTCTTCTTTTTTGCTTCTTCCTATTTTTTCTTCGATTTCCTTCTTCTTCTTCTCTGCTTTCTGCTTCTTCCTCTTTTCTCTGTCGACTTCTTCTTCTTTTCTTCTTCTGGTCTTCTTCCCTCTTTTTTCGATTTCTTCTTCTTCTTCTGCTTCTTCCTCTTTTCTTCGATTTCTTCTTCTTTTTTTCTGGCTTCTTCTCTTTTCTTCGATTTTCTTCTTCTCTTGCTTTCCTTATTTTTTGTTTTCTTTTCTTCGATTTATTCTTCTTTTGCCTTGCCTTCTTTCTCCTTCCTTCTTCCTCTTTTTCCTTCTTTTTCTAGCGATTTCTTCTCTTTGCTTTGCCTACTTCTTTTTTTTCTTTTTCTCTTCTTCTATTTCTTCTCCTTTGTTTTGTATTTTTTTGTTCTCCTTTTTTTTCTTCTACTTCTTCTTCTTCTTCTTCATCTCTTCTTCCTCCGTTGTTAATCATCATTAATATTACTATCATTAATCAGTATATTATCATCATCATTAATAAATTAATCATTATTGTTTTTTGTTATTCCCATTATCATGCAATCATCATTTTAATTGCCGATGAGCTTAGTTGATCATCATTATTTATGCCGATGATCACCATATTACTTTCATTGCTATTTTATATTACCATATCATTCTATTATGATTAATCGTCACGGAGTGTGATTATCAATTATCCTTTACTTCCTTCTTTTACCGCCCAACGAATACACTCCGATAGCCTGCACCTGAGCTTACCGTAGGCCCTCTGTGTAAGCCCACTTGTAGATGCTTCATACCTTGTAGCCCCTTGTAGTCCGCCTCACCGAGCCCTAGTAGTCCTTCCGAAGGCCCCTATGCTGGCCCGCTTGTAGCCGTTTCGTAACGCTGCCTGTGTGGCTCTCTTGTAGTCCTTGTAGTCCTTCGTGAAGACCGTTCATACCCCTTTGAGCTCCCTGGTAGTCCTCTGTAACGCGCGTCTTGTATGTCCACGGTACCCTCTCTACAGGCCCCCTTGTTGCCCCCCATGTGCCCCTCCAACAAGCCCCCTTGTATCTCTCCTACAGCCCCCTTGAAAGCCCCTGTAACCCTCCTACAGCCCCTTGTAGCCCCCCCTGTGGCCCGCTCCTGACAAGCCGCCTTCGTACTCCTCCTACAGCCCCCTTGAAAGCCGGACCCTTGTACCCGCCCTACAACCCTCTTGTAGCCCCCTTAAGCCCCCCGCTGTACCCCTCCTGACAACCCCGCTTGTACCTCCTACAACCCTGTAGCCCCGCCTTGTACCGACAGCCTCCTAACCCCCTTGTAGCCCCCTTATAGCCCCCCTGTAATACCCATCCTACAGCCCCTTGTAGCTCCCGCTACTAGCGCCCCTTGAAGCCCCCCTTGTACCCCCCACAGCCCCTTGTAAGCCCCCCTGTGCCCTCCCTACAGCCCCCTTGTAGCCCCCTTGTACCCTCCCTGTACATTCCCCCCCTGACCCCTCCTACAGCCCGCCTTGTAAGCCCCCCTGTACCCTTCCTACAGCCTCCCTGTTACCCCTCTACAGCCCCCTTGTAGCCCTGGTGCCCCTCCTAACAGCCCTTGTACTCCTACAGACCCCTTGAAGCCCCCCTTGTTACCCCGCGTACAAGCCCCCTGAAGCCCCCCGTTGTGACCGCCTCCTACAGGCCCCCTTGTACTCCTCCTACTAATAGCGCCCCTTGAAGCCCCCCTTGTACCGCCTCCTACCCAGCCCCTTGTAGCCCCCCCTGTCCCCTCCCTACAGCCCCGGTCTTGTACTCCTCCTACAGCCCCTTGAAAGCCCCCCTTGTACCCCTTCCTACACGCCTCTTTGTTAGCCCCTTATAGCCCGCCGCTGTAACCCCCCTCAACGCCCGCTTGTACCCTCCTAACAACCTCCCTTGTGGCCCCGCGTTGTACCCCTCCATGACAACCCTTGTTAGCGCCCCTTATAGCCCCCCCTGTGCCCTCCTTACAACCCACTTGTACCCCTCCTACAACCCCCTTGTACCCCCCTACACCCCCCCCCTTGTAGCCCCCCTGTAGCCCCCTTGTAGCCCCCCCTACTAGCCCCCTTGTAGCCCCCCTACCCCTCCTACAAGCCCCCTTGTAGCCCCCCTGTACCCTCCTACAGCCCCCTTGTAGCCCGCCCCTCCTACAGCCCCCTTGTAGCCCCTTGTAGCCCCGCCCCCCTACGCCCCCCTGTAGCCCCCTGCTACCCCTCCTACAGCCCCTTGTAGCCCCGTACCCCCCAGCCCCCTGTAGCCCCCTTGTACCCCCCGTTCACACAAGACCCGAAAATAACAGCGTCGAGCGAGATTTACGATCCGCCCCAGTACTCGCCCTTCGCCCTCTCATTACGGTTCATCACGGCTTTCAGTCTCGGGCAAGAAGGTGTGAATCGGGGGGGGGGGGGGGATAGGTCGGAGGGGGAGGGGGAGGGGGAGGGGTAGGCAGGGGGGGAGGGCAAGAAGTGTGGAATCGGGAGGGGGGGAAGGAGGTGAGGGAGGGGAATAGGCAGGGGAAAGGGGGAGGGGGCTGGGAATAAGGTGGGGAAGGGGGTGGTGGCAGAGGAACTGGTGGAAGGGGGAAAGGGGAGGGGGGCTGGGAATAAAGTGGGGAAGGGGAGGTGGCAGAGAAACTAGTGGAAGGGGGAGAAGGGGTGGGTGGACTGGAAAAGGGGGAGGAGGGGGTGGTGGCAACGGAACTAGTGGAAGGGGGAAGGGGGGGGGGGGCTTGAAAAGGGGAGGGAGGGGGTGGTAAATATGCTGTCGTTTGTTTCAGTTTAAATGCCGTGATCGATATGGAAGATATGTGGACAGGTGTGGAAGATGTGTACGTGAGCATATTAATACTCGTATGTATAGTATGTGTGTGTGCGTAATGGATAGATAGATTGGTAGATACGTAGATGGATAGATGGATAGATAATAGATAGGTAGGTATAGATAGATAGGTAGGTAGGTAGGTAGTTTGAGAGATAGGATAGATTGATGGGTAAAAGAGAGAGAGAGAGAGAGAGAGAGAGAGAGAGAGAGAGAGAGAGAGAGAGAGAGAGAGAGAGAGAGAGAGAGAGAGAGAGAGAGAGAGAGAGAGAGAGAGAGAGAATGAGAGAGAGAGAGACAGACAGACAGACATATAGACAGACCGAGAGAGAAAGAGAGATAGAAAAAAAGAGAAGAGAGAGAGAAAAAAAGAGAAAGAAGAAAAAAGAGAGAGAGAGAGAGAGAGTGAGAGAGAAGACAGACAGACAGACAGAGTGAGAGAGAGAAAAAGAGGAAGAGAAAGAGAGAGAAAAAAAGTGAAAGAAAGAGCAACAAAAAGACAAAGAGAGAGAGAAAAAAGAGAAAGAGAGAGAGAACAAAGAAAGAGAAAGAGAGAGAGCAACACAGGGATTTTCCACCTGTAGTATTCAAGAAACTGTAAGAGACCCTGATTGATAATAGCGATAATAGAGATTAACTAGAACCAAGATCTGTTGGAAGGGAAGGGCGGGAACATGATAAAGGCGAGAGAGAAAGACAAAGAGGAATGAGAGGTAGACAGAGGAGGAGAGAGAGAAATGGAAGATATATATATATATATATATATATATTATATATAATATATATATATATATATATTATATATATATATATATATATATATATATATATATATATAATATATATATTATATATATATATATATATATATATATATATATATATATATATATATATATATATATATAATATATATTATATATATTTATATATATATATATATATATATATATAATATATATATTATATATATATATATATATATATATATATATAATATATATATATATATATATATATATATATATTATATATATATATATATATATATATATATATATATATATATATGTATGTGTATATATATGTGTATATATTGGTTGTGTGTGTGTGTGTGTGTGTGTGTGTGTGTGTGTGTGTGTACATATGAACACAAGCACAAGCATGATCACGTGAACACAAAAATGAAAATGAAACTAGCCACAATGAGAAAGGAAAATAAGCGTGCCGTTTCGAACTCTTCACGAGTCCTCTTCAGACAAAAACCGAAATGGATCAAATGTCACGCACGCTTACTTTCATTTTTCATTGTGGCTAGTTCATTTTCATTATATATATATATATATATATTATATATATATATATATATATAATATATATATATATATATATATATATATATATATATTATATTATATATGTATTATATATATATATATATATATATATATATATATATATATATATATATATATATATATATATATATATAATATATATATAATAATATATATAGAGAGAAAGAGGGAGAGAAGAGAGAGAGAGAAGAGAGAAGAGAGAGAGAGAGAGAGAGAGAGAGAGAGAGAGAGAGAGAGAGAGAGAGAGAGAGAGAGAGAGAGAGAGAGAGAGAGGAGAGAGAGAGAGAGAGAGAGAGAGAGAGAGAGAGAGAGAGAGAGAGAGAGAGAGAGAGAGAGAGAGAGAGAGAGAAGAGAGAGAAGAGAGAGAGAGAGAGAGGAGAGAGAGAAGGGAGAGAGTAGAGAGAGAGAGAGAGAGAGAGAGAGAGAGAGAGAGAGAGAGAGAGAGAGAGAGAGAGAGAAAAAGACAGAGAGAGAGAAAGAGAGAAAAGAGAGAGAGAGAGAAGAGAGAGAGAGAGAGAGAGAGAGAAACGAGAGAGAGAGAGAGAGAAAGGAAAGAAAGATAGTTCACAGAAGAAATTACAAAATGAAAATAATTACAAAAAGGACAACGTAACCGAGAGCGATAAAAGAGACGCAAGACAGACGACAAACAAGAGAAAAGAAAGATACACGACAGAGCTGAAGAACACATCCGTTAGCGTGACTTTTACTTTCTTAGAAAATAGAAAAAATATGAATGAGAGAATCGTCGATAGGATTGGAAAACTATATTTCATTCTGTGAACTCTCTTCTTTTTCTTCTTTTTTCTCTGTCTTCTGTCTCTCTCTCTCTCTTCTCTTTCTTTTCTCTCTCTCTCTCCTCTCTCTCCCTCTCCTCCTCTCTCCGCTCTCTCTCCTCCTCCTCCCTCTCCCTCCCTCCCTCCTTCCTCCTTCCCTTCCTCCCTCCCCCCTCTCTCCCCCCTCCCTCTCCCTCCCTCTCCCTCCTCCCTCCCTAACCTCCCTCCTTCTTCCCTTCCCTCCTCCCTCCCTCCCTCCCTCTCCTCCCCCTGCCCTCCTCCTCCCTCACAAAACACCCCATGCAAAGCGCCTCCTCATTGCACCCATACACCTTCTGTTGACTCCAGGAAAGGAACTTGAATACAGTGACTCTGGAGGGACGAACACCTGGTGACCTGATATTCCTGTAGATTGAGCTATGTGATGCACAGGTAGTGGTACAGGTCATGGAGGGTGGGTGGGTGGGTGGGGGGTTGGGGGTGTGGGTGGGTGGTGGGTTGGATGGGGGTGAGGGGGGAGTATTAGGGGGGGAAGGGGGTTGGGGGGAAGGAGAGGGAGTGAAGGTTAAGGAGATTGTGTGTGTGTGTGTGTGTGTGTGTGTGTGTGTGTGTGTGTGTGTGTGTGTGTGTGTGTGACAGCGGTGCAATGTCGCTGTTTTAGGGTAGGTTACGTTTTATCTCTGCCTTGTGGTCTGTCCATTGATTTCCGATGTGGAGGAGAGAGAAACTGAAAAAAAATATGAAGGAGGGAGAGAGAAAGAAAGAAAAGAAGAGAGAGAGAGAGAGAGAGAGAGAGAGAGAGAGAGAGAGAGAGAGAGAGAGAGAGAGAGAGAGAGAGAGAGAGAGAGAAAGAGAGAGGGAGAGAGAGAGAGAGAGAGAGAGAGAGAGAGAAGAGAGAGAGAGAGAGAGAGAGAGAGAGAGAGAGACAGAGAAACAGAGACAGACAGACAGACAGACAGACAGACAGAAGCATACAGACAAAAAACAGAGCCAAAAGAAAAGAAAGAGAAAGAAAGCGAGAGCGAAAGGAGCCTTATTTACCGAGTAAATTACACGTCCAGCAAAAAATCCCCGGCAAAAATCCCCAGGGCCGTAACGCCACGCCCGGCCGCCCGAGATTACGTTAAGAGAGCTGTCAGTCAAACAGGAGATTTTGCATGGCGCGGGGACGACCTCGGCTTACCCTCGGCTTCGGCTTCGGACGACCTCGGCTCGCTTCGGGACGACTCGGCTTCGGCTTCGGGGACGACCTCGGCTTCGGGGGACGACCTCGGCTTCGGCTTCGGGACGACCTCGACCTCGGCTTCGGCTTCGGGGACGACCTCGGCTTCGGCTTCGGGGACGACCTCGGCGCGGCTTTTCGTCATTTGGGCGATGCTGGAATTGGCTGTTGCGTGGCTGTTTCATGTTGGGTTGCGTGGGTTTCATGTTGGGTTGCGTGGCTGTTTTCATGTTGGGTTTGCGTGGCTGTTTCATGTTGGGTTACGTGGCTGTTTTATGTTGGGTCATGTTGGGTTGCGTGGCTGTTTTCATGTTGGTTGCGTGCTGTTTCATGTTGGGTTGCGAGGCTGTTTCATGTTGGGTTGCGTGGCTGTTTCATGTTGGGTTGCGTGGCTGTTTCATGTTGGGTTGCGTGGCTGTTTCATGTTGGGTTGCGTGGCTGTTTTATGTTGGGTTGCGTGGCTGTTTCATGTTGGGTTGTGGTGTTTCATGTTGGTTGGCGTGGCTGTTTCATGTTGGGTTGCGTGGCTGTTTCATGTTGGGTTGCGTGGCTGTTTCATGTTGGGTTGCGTGGCTGTTTATGTTGGGTGCGTGGCTGTTTCATGTTGGGTTGCGTGGCTGTTTTTATGTTGGTTGCGTGGCTGTTTTATGTGGGTTGCTGGCTGTTTCATGTTGCGGTGTGCGTTGGCTGTTTCATGTTGGTTGCGTGGCTGTTTCATGTTGGGTTGCCTGCGTGCTGTTTCATGTGGGTTGTTTCATGTTGGGTGCGTGGCTGTTTCATGTTGGGTTGCGTGGCTGTTTTATGTTGCGTGCTGTTGGGCGTGGGCTGTTCAGTTGGGTTGCGTGTTTCATGTTGGGTTGCGTGGCTGTTTCATGTTGGGTGCGTGGCTGTATGTTGGGTTGCGTGGCTGTTCATGTTGGGTTGCGTGGCTGTTTTATGTTGGGTTGCGTGGCTGTTTCATGTTGCGTGTTGCGTGGCTGTTTATGTTGGGTTGCGTGGCTGTTTCATGTTGGGTTTGCGTGGCTTTTTATGTTGGGTTGCGTGGCTGTTTTCATGTTG